TTTCCCTACTGCTTATTGAAAGTGGGTGAATTAAAGGCCATTTTTCCAGTTGCAGCCTTCTCTTTGTCTCAGACCTACCAGAAATCTAGAAACTGTAAATATCATAAATGGTTGATTCATCGTTGAGAATAGGGACTCATTAGAAGGAAATAGTTAAAGAGGTGGCTCATGATTAACCAAAAGGATGGAAAGGATTCCTACAGGGGTAAAATCCAACAACCAAACCCACTGTCATCGAGTCCATTCTGACTCACAATGACCCTGCATAGGACCATGGTAGGAGAATGTATCCTCTTTCAGGGGAACATGGAGCTGGTGCATTTGTACAGCACATCTTGTAGTTGGTAGTCCAACTTAAAGAGCTGTAGCATCGAACTCTCAGTGTCTTTAGCAGTATTTGAGTTTAGCTTCTTGAAACCTCAACTATGAACAGTATGTAATTCCATAATTATCATTGGCCTATGGATTTCAGAAGTGCTTATACTGAGAGACTTGGTTGAGTTTCTAAAGTGCTCATAATGATGAAATACATACAATGCTTCTATTGCTGCCTAACAATTTTTCTAAGCTGAAAGCCGTATCCATAAGGCGGAAAAAGCAAAAAGCAAATCATATGAAGTGAAAATGCTGTTTATACTTACAGAACATAAACTATAAAGTATATGTATTAACTGTCTAGATTTATAGTATCGATGACTTAATGTAATGTTTCCATTAACTTTTAAAAATGACTAATCCTTTATTTTAATAATTTAGTGTATAAAACATGCTAAACTTAATTAATGGAAAGCCTTCATTGTGTATCTCTTCTTCATGTGATTCATTGGCACAAATTGAGATCAGATGCATCATTGAAGCATTTACTCATTAGTACATTCAAAACATGTCTCTATCTGAATAGATGAGCCTTTGGATGATGTTCATGAGTGGAATTATAATTTCAGCTAATAGTCAAGTCAATTGCAATTGATAATAACTATAATGAGCTCTAACTATTACTTCACAAATGAGAAACCCAATAGGAACAGGTCTCCTACCATCAGACACAAACACAAAGACCTAAAAATAAACCTTTCTCACTTGGGCGGCATTCTCCCTACATTGTGTTTATGTATGAATCAAAGAGCTATTAAGTGGGGGGCAATGCATGAAGTTATTGAATCTTGCACTCCGACTGCTGCAGGTTAAGACGTGGAAATTAATGAACTAGTCAAGGCAAGTAATTGCTACTGCAACACACAAACCCAGAAATCTTGGCGGGTTCGCATACCTTGATGGTCTTTCATGCCTCAAGTGGACAATGCAGGCAACTAGGCTGGCGTAGAACCAACTTGACAGAATCCAGGCTGCCTAGAGCATGTGGCCTCTTTCGAGGTTGCTGTGGCAAAAGGAGAGAGAAGAACGACTTAAGAGTGGGTCTTCCTCTTAAGGCTCACTTGCTCTCAAGTTTCTTATCCTGAAAGCGATACGTGTCACCTCTGCTCATGACCATCAGGGGGCCTCGTTCTACCTGGAAGGAAGGGGCAGCAAAGCAAGGGGGCATGTGGCATCTGCCAAGAGCCGGCCATCTCTGATGTGAGGAGAAACCTCTTTCTGAAAGGAGGCTGGTGTTCTTTAGCCAGCTGAACTACATGTAAGCTATAAAAAAGAAAAAGACATCCTACAGCTTTACCCTGTAAATTCAAACAGAGATTTAAATTGGACAATTCTTTGTAGGATACGGCTTTAAAGATGTTCATCTGTCGTGGCTAGTCCTTTACATGTTCTTCCTTTTTCTTCCTCCCCTGATATGTTAACTCAGAAGTTTATGCTACGCACTTGAAAAAATGAAGACTGTTGATTTGTGAGTAGTAGAAAGTCCTAAGAAGATGGCATTCCTACCTTTAGTCAATATCTTCAATAGCCTATTTAACTATTTCACAGAAAACTCTAGTGGGAGGTGATTGCTCTCAATTATGTACAAGATCATGAAAATAAATAAATAAATACATAAATAAATAAAAAACATGAAAACAGAATCTGAGAAATGGATGGAAAACTATGTCTTTTCACTAATATGTTGTTGTATAACCTAATTTAGTGATTTGAATTATGCAATATATTTAGTTTGAATTATGTACCACAATGACATAGAACAGCATTTGGGCTCCATTAACTACACATTCTACTGCTCATTTTGACTGTTGTCATTCATGTGGTCTCTTGCAGCCCCACTCTAAAGTCTACCATTTGGTCCCAGATATTGGCTGGGCTTCCCTCCACATGGTTTCTCCTTCTTAATAAAGCTAGGCTAGGCT